TCACTTTCTTCTGCTGAAGCAAGAGCCTGGTTTCTCTTTGAAAAACAATATTTATTAATAGTGTCAGATGTAGGTTCCACCTCATGTAAGGGGCCTTTAATCCGATTTTTAAGAAGTGGTTAGTTCTCTGGCAGTGGTGATGCACTCCTTTAATCCCAGCACTCAGAAGGCAGAGCCAGGCAGATCTCTGTGAGTTCGAGGCCAGCCTGGTCTACAGAGCAAGATCCAGGAAAAAAACCCTCAAAAAACAAAACCACCACCGCCACAAAAAGAAGTGGTTGGTTACTCCCCCAATACCTGTGTCACCCCGCACCAGGACATCCTGCGGGCAGATCACTGCTGTAAGCTGAAGGGTTGACAGTTGGGTGAGGTTGATCATCACCTTTCTCCTCTGGGAGCATGGATAGTACCTTCCAGCACTAGGAATGCTCGTCGGTAGGGGCAAAGCTTCTGGTTGAGCACCAGCTCAAAATCTCCACGTTCAATGACATAAATGGTGTATTCAGCAATAAGGCTTTGCCATCATCGGCTGTGGAGGGTAACCAATCGCACTGGCAATAGCCTATACTAGTTTTTGGGGTGCCTATGAGGCCTCCTTGGGCAACAACTCAATAAGATGCAACTCATTCCTGGCACTGGAGTTTTATGTGGTCTATTATGATGTCTAGTTGGGTCACTGTTTCCCTCATTATATGGTAATTCCATTTAAATTCCTTTTATATATTTTAGGAAGCTTCTAGAATACTAGCTCTCAATGTGGCTTTTCAAAAGCTACTCTTCCTCATTTAATCCTCCTATTCTAGTTTCCTTTCAGCACTTTATAAAACTATATTCTAAACCAGGTATGGGGGCACACGCCTGTAATTCCAGCACTCCACCTTTTATTCTAGCACTCCAAGGGCAGAGGCAGATGGAACTCTGTGAGTTAGATGCCAGCCTCATCTATATATCAAGTTCCAGGACAGCCAGGGCTACATAGTAGACCATGTCTCAAACAAAAAAGCAAACCTACATTCTATTTCTCCTTCCTTGGAATATCACATACTCCCTCCTGATCCCTGGGACTTGCTCTGTAGACCAGGCTGGGCTCAACCTCAGAGATCTGCCTGCTTCTGCCTGCCAAGTGCTGGGATTAAAGGAATGAGCCACCATACCTAGCTTTTGGCTTTTGTTTTGTTTTCTTGTTTCATGAGAAAAAGAAAACATGAAATTGGGTGGGTAGGATCTGAGAGAACTTTAGATCAAAATACAATGTACAGAAAATATTAAAAATATAATAAAAAATAAAAACGTGACACATCAAAAGAAATACCCAAAGAGATTTTCTCGGCTCAGACATCATTTGTTAAACACACACACACACACACACACACACACACACACACACACACACACACACACACATACTGTGCCGGTGCTTTAACACTCACACACCTGTATTTGCCCCAGAACAGCCTTCAGAAGTCATGATTTCACTTGACAGTAGGAGGAGGCCGCTTTGAAGGTGAAGTGACTGGTTTGTGGCCATGAGGTCATTATTACATGATATACGGAAACTGGGCCCAGGTCTGACTCAAAATCCAGAGTGCCTTCTATGAGGCCACAGTTATGTTTACCCAGGCAGCTATACCCTAATCAACATCATAGTAACAGTTACCACTGATGTTTATCTGGCTCTTATAAGGCAAGCTGTGTGATTTCCTTTAATACCAGTGATCACCCCATGTGCTAGCTTTATCAGGAACTTCACGCCAGAACTGGCGGGATGGCACAGTGGTTAAGTGCTTCCCACCAACACCCATGTGGTGGTTCACAACCACCTTTAACCCCAGTTCTAGGAGATCCAATGCCCTCTTCTGGCCTCCTTGAGCACCAGACTTGCAAGTGGTGCACAGACATACATATAGGTACTCATACACACAAAATAAAGTAGTATTTAAGAGAGAGAGAGAGAGAGAGAGAGAGAGAGAGAGAGAGAGAGAGAGAGAGAGAGACTCCAGTCCAGAGTTAAGGAAACTGAGTTCCCTGAACGTTTAGTTTGAACGACGATGTGTCTAGTCCCAGAACCCATTCTCTTAATCTTCCACCAGAATGCAGGAAACTCAACTCTAGTCCTGGCTCTACCTAGGCAAGTCCTCTGACAGTTCTATTTCAATTTCCGTGTTAATTAAATGGGGCCGCTGTTACTTGTCCCTACCTACTCCACAGAGATACTGGTTTGATGAGAGGGGAAAAAGCCCAAGCTTTAGAAGGGAAATTGCTATACAAATCTGGATCCTGTCACAAGTTTCACTCAGTCCCCACTGCATGACCATAAAGGGACTTGGCTGACATCATTAGCGCTCACACACCCCCTGAAGTGGGTAGAGAGTATTATTATCTTTACTTAACAAAGAGCATAAGTGCAAGGAAATGACATAATCTGTGAGCTGGTGGCAAACCTGGGAATAAAATCTAAGGTTTCTAACTCCCACTGCTTATGTTCTCAGGGTACAGTCTACTTTTTTATACTTGTAAGTTAATTGTAAAATAGTCAAGGGTAGAAACATCGGCGTCCACTTCAAAGCAGAGATTAAATACTTACAGAAATGAACATGTCCACTAAAGTGACGCTGACATAATCTCCAAGGTTCGTAATCCTCACAGTCCAAAGAAACTACCTGATTCAAGAGGAAAAAAAAATCCAATTTCCTTCTAACAGACACCAGCTCTTTATCGTGCTCAATTAACTTGTTACTCACCAGAAGCTACAAAGCTAGGCTTTCTTACTTAGTTTCAACTGGTGAGTCTATCCCTTCCTCAGAGCCTAAAACCTCATTACTAAACTGTCCCTGATCAGAGAAAAAGGGGCCAGGAGTGGTGGCGCACGCCTTTGATTCCAGCATTTGGAGGCAGAGACGTAGATCTCTGTGAGTTTGAGGCCAACACAATCTACATAGTGAAATCCAGAATAGCCGGAGCTACAAAGTAAGACCCTGTCTTCATAAAACAGACAAACAAACCAAACAAAAAAGGAAGGAAATGAAAAAGATGTCAGAGAGAAAGAAGTATCAAATACACTGTCACATCATAAACACTTACCTGAGCTATAGACTTTGGTTTGGAGGTTATTCTGACATACCAAACATACCACCCCATGATACCCTGAGATCAACACTCAACGTTCAAAGTGAACAGCATAACTAAAATGATCGTGAAGGCACACCAGCACCATTCTAAATCATTGCCCTCCTCTATGGAGCCCAAACAGCAGTCTTGTGCTTCCCACCCAGGACCTCCAACAGATACACCCAAATCTTAAAGTCAAATAAAAAGTAGTGGGCCGGGAGTGGTGGTACACGATAGATCGCTGTGAGTTCAAGGCCAGCCTGATCTACAGAACAGAGTTCCAGGACAGCCAAGGTTATACAGAGAAACCCTGTCTCAAAAAAAAAAAAAAAAAAGTAGTAATGACGAGGTGGTCGGGGAAATGGCTTAGCCAGTAAAGTGCTAACAGCGAAAGCATGAGGACCTGAGCTCAAACACCAGGACCATGCAGACACAGCAAGGCGCGCCTGCAACCTCACTGTTGGGGAGGTACAAACAGCTGGATCCTGGGGGCTGGCTAGCCAGCCAGTCTAGTCAAGTCAGTGAGCTCCAGGGTTACCGAGAGACCCTGGCTCAAAAAGATGAGGTGGAAAGAGACTAAAAGGGATACCTGATGGCAGCCTTTGGCTTCCCCATGCAAGTGAACATCCCTCTTGCTCTCACCCACACGCACATACACACACAGTAGTAATGGGACCAATTCTATCTTCAATAGGGAAGGAGTATTCAGTCTAGCACTCTTAGTATGTGTTCTCTGGAAGACCACAAAATCCCTTCAGTTGTTTCTAGTTTAACAACCACACACTTTGAAATCTCCACAGCAGTAGGAAGAGGAAACACAAGTCACTTACACAGAGTCCAGATCCACAGAATCCTCATTACTCTCTGACCGACTGAAACACAGATGTACAAACACAGTGTGTCATTTTGTCAGAGACAAAAACCAAAGCACAAGAATCAAAGTCATTCTACTAAGAGGAAGCCACACTCCATCTTAGCCAAGAGGCTGAGAATAAAGAATTCCATGAATGTGGAAAGAATTCACTTGGTGGGTGAGTGGCTTGAGCTATGGGATCCACTCCTGGCTGTGTGCTCCAAGGGAAGGAATGGATGATGTGGGATTCTGAGATTTCTCAGAGGCCATCTTTCCTACAATGATCTAGTTTTCCCTTGAGAGGAATATTTATCTGACTTCTGTAATCAAAGCTAACCCCATCTTCTGTTGGGCCAGTGGCCCTAAGATCTCCTGAACTTTATTATAGATGGGAACTACCTGGGGATCATATTAAACTACAAAATATCACTCTGAAGGCCTGGGCTGCAAGCCTAACACGCTCTCAGCTAATGCCAATGCTGCTGTTTGATGGGCCATATTTTACACTAGTAGGGCCCTAAGGAATGTTTCCGAACAGAAATAACCTGCATCGAATGCTTCTGAAAATACAGTCCACACACATCTACAAGGGAAGAGAGCATTCCAGAGTCCGCAGGAGCAGCTGGTGCTAGGTGCACTTTACAATCTCTTTTTAACCACCTGGTTGCACTGTCTCAGTCACTGTCCCACTGCTGTGACAGAACACCATGACCCAAGCAACTTATACAAGAAAGCATTTAATGTGGGGCTTAGGGTTTCAGAGGGGTAGAGTCCATGACTACCACGGCAGCAGATAGGCATGTATGACCCTGGAGCAGCAGCTCATACCTTGTGGCACAATCATGAAGCAGAGAGCTAAGTGGGACTGGTGTGGGCTTTGAAACTTAAAGTCCACCCGCAGTGACACACCCCCTCACCCTTCCAAAACAGTTCACCAACTGGAAACCAAGTATTTACACATGAGCCCACGGGACCATTCTCGTTCGAAGCACCACATACACACCCATTTAATACCTCAATGAAGAACAACTTTCATGAATGTTTTTCTGTGTGTGTGCTGACAATTTATTGAGGTTTGTCTGATTGGATCTTGCATGAATGGACATACAACATCAGGGCTTTTTTTGTAATAAAAGACAATTCAAAATAAATATGTATTTAAAAAACTATGTCAAACACTAATGAATAATTAACATTTACAATTTTTAAGAAAATCATTTTGGATTAATATTTTTCATTTCCCCCACAAAATAAACAGCTGACTTAACTCTTGTCAAGCAGGAGGAAAAGAGTCAAAAAGAAGTGAAGTCACACCCACGGCACAGTCATCGTGTTATTTCAGTGAGGAGAGTCTTTACCAAGATTAAGACACATACAAGTATCCGAGGAGAATTACGTTACTGAATCGTTCAGAACCTGGGGGAACGTTCAGGGAAAGAGAACGAGTGCCAGAGGTGAGAAAAGCTTCAGATGGAAAGTCCATACCCCTTGAGAAAATTAATATCCACCCATCAACTTATTGTTTCAGGTTTTCATATTAGTCTAACCCCCCAGCCCCGAATCCAACCCAACACCATAAAAACTAAGTTGGCAACAGGCCTAGCCAACTATACTCCCTGTTTAGCCTGCGATGCCTTTGCGGTCAACGACAGGAATGTCTGTGGTGTGGATGGACAGAGGGAAAGGAGCGCCACGCCTCTCCTCTCTGTGCGGCCCGTGCATCTTCACCCGGTCCTGAGGGAGGCCCTCAGTGCCTGGGCGCGCTCTTCAGACCCATGACGGTGAAGGTAGCAGCGGTCAGTTTCTCGTACACAAGGAACATGAGGGCAGCTGTGAGCACTGTCTGGAGCAGCTTGGCTTCAAGGCCTTTGTAGAGTCCTATTATTCCAAAGCGCCTGAAAGGAAAGAGGTTGGGAAAAAATAGATTTTCTTTGTAAAAGCAGCTCTGTGTTAGAGAGATCTGCTGCCCTGATAGCTTCTCTCTGAAAGGGTTTTTCTTTAGGATCAAAACAAGCAATGGAGATTTTCAATTCCAACAGACTTCTGCTGGTAGAGTCCTTCTTAGCTTTGAAGGCATTTAGGCACAGATGAAGTTTAGTATTCAGGGGCCATTGATACTTTGTCTTTATTACACTTGTCATTAATTAGTGGGATGCTGGTAACACCATACTACTAGGATGCAGATCCTGGAAGCTTCTGAAATCATTGTAATGCCCGAACCAGAGATCTAAGAACTTCTGAGTTTAATGGGCTCCCAATTCAGTTATTTCAACCTAACAGTCCCTAAGTGGTAGGAAAGCCAGTAATTTGTTTAGATCATTTTCAACCTCAATAGAACTAAGGGAAGAGACAGAAATGAAAAGCTGTCTGATTCTTAGCCTTCTTGTACATTTGGTCCTAGGGCTCAACAGAAATTCAGCAAGCACCTCAAATTTCTCATGTAGCCAAGGTTGTCTTGAACTTTTGATTCTTCCACCTCTATAGGTGTGTACATCACACCTGGCTTCAGGTGATAGTGTGTGTGTATATGTGTGTCTGCACGCCATTGTTTGCACATGCATAGCCCAGAGGTTCACGAGTATCTTTTTTTTTTAGTTTTTTTTTTTTTTTTTTTTTAGTTTTTTTTGAGACAAGATTTCTTTGTGTAGCCCTGGCTGTACTGGAACTCGATCTTTAGACCAGGCTGGCCTTGAACTCACTTGCCACTGCCTCCCGAGTGCTAGGATTAAAGGGGTATGCCATCACTGCCTGGCTGACTTGAGTATCTTTGTCTATCGCCGCACCCAATCTTTTTTTTTGGTGGGGGGGACAAAGCCTCTCACTGAACTTAGACTTTCTGTTTTGGCTAATCTGGTTGGCCAAGCAAACCTCAGGATCCACGCATCTTTGTACCTACCGGTGCTGCAGGGACAGGCTACACTGCACACCTGGATTTTCATATGGGTGTCAAACATCCGAACTCAAGCTCTCATGCTGGTCTGGCAAGCACTCTGGCAATGGAGCCGTCTCCCCATTTTAATCACACAAAATGGAGAGGTTTGGTGTGGCATTACATTATCTATGACAGCAACCATCAGGCAGATGTGTCAATTAAAAATTAAAACAATGGAAACTTGGCTTCTCAGTAGCACTGGCTCTATTCCACACACTCCACAGCTCCATGCAACTAGTCACAACCCTACTGGACAATGCAGTGTTTCCATCACGGCAGAACATGGTACTGAAGAATGGTAGTCATTCATCTGGCTCTGCCTCTCTAGTGCTGGACAAATCAATTTCTCTAAATCTGCCTCTTGATTTGCAAAATAGGAATATAATCACTGTTCTACAGGGCTGAGGACCAAAGCAGATAAATATATAAAAACACTTAATTTGCAAATTACAGGACCTCATCAATTTCCAACTGACATCTGTAACGTCCATCTTTCTTAACCTTCTCAGTGCTGGCAAAAATTTTAATTGCTGTCATTCTTGGGGTCAGTTGGCATTGTCTAAATATATAATGCTTGAAATTATAAAATGTCAAAATTATATGTGTTCTGGTTCTCTTAACTAGGTAATTCCACATAAAGGACTCTCTCTACAATTGTGACTGCTTAATCACTGGAGGCTCAGCTTATACTCTTCACTCAGCAATGTCTGTAAAGAACCCAAGCACTGGTGAATAAATCACAGCGCGTTACGTAACAGGGAACTGGTACAGGTCTGCACTTGGCACATGGTGTGATTTTAAGATTACAAAAAGGGAGAAGATGAAGAAGGAAACTGCCTCATAAGGCCAACCTGGTCTACCTGACAAGTACTAGACCAGTCAGGGCTTCATAGCTAGACTCTGCCTCAAAAAAAAACCCAAAACAAAACAGTATGCTAGATACATACACTGAAAACATCAGTTCCATATAATTCTCTAGAAATGTGTATACTTTACAGGGACTACCTCTTGGGAATGGAATAAGAAGAGAAGGGAGGCCGGGCAGTGGTGGCGCACGCCTTTAATCCCAGCACT